AACAATGGGACGAGCTACGCACGCACCTCGAGGTTAACGGCATGTCCGCGGGTCTCCAACACCTCGACCAACTCGTCGAAGACATTATCCTAGGCAAGTCGAACGTCAGTCTGCAGGGTCCAGTAGTGATTTTGCCAGCCGCGCCCGGCGTTCCAAGTGCTGCACCTGCGGCCGCGCTGTCAACGAAGGCTTCGAGCAAGAAACCCGCGACGTCCTCCAAGAAGACCTCTAAACGGAAGGCTAGCGCTGACGACACTGCCACCAAGTCATCCGCCAAGAAGCCGCGCTCTACCAAGAAGTTGACAGCCTCGACGCTTCCCTCGTATGACTTCGCCAAGCTACTAGAGGTGAATCCTAACGCTCCTCGAGTCGTGCGAACCGCCATCACCATCGTCCTCCACAAGGCCAAATAAGCCGGCAAGATTCCCTGGCGCCTGGCGTACCCGTGGTCGGGTCGACCCCTCTGGTACGATCCAGCTAAAAACCAGGATCTTCATCGCTCACCGGCGTGCTTTCTGGGAGTGGGCGTTCCACGTCCCTCTGGAATCAAGCTCAGCTCAGTCCAATCGCCGCAAGCTGAAAATGCGAGCCACTCTCCCTCGTCTATCCTTTACGAGCCTTTGCATCGAGACCTGGTGCTTCTACGCGTTCCTCGAGAAGCTGGAGAAGCGTCCTGAAATGTTCTGGCTCGTAGGCCAGCCCGGCAAGTCTCCACGTGGAGGTCGACAGCCCCAAGGACCCATCGCCGAGGATCTCGCTGTCCTCCACGACAAAGATCAGGCCAGATACGAGGCCACGCTCGAGAACGCCCTCAATCCGGCGAAGGTGGACCCCTATGGGTACCCGCAAGTGCTCTCCTTCCTCGAGTTCACTGAAGCCCTGAATCCCAAGGCCATTGCGAATAGCCGTCTCTCCATGACAGCACTAGCACGCATCCGGCAGGATCTCACGCCTGGAAACAAACTCAAGACGTCGTGGTTTATCAACCAGAACGCCGAACCTTGGAAAACTCTCATCAGCTACAACGGCGTCAAGCAACGCCAATTCGACGTTATGGCCCAAATGGCCGATCGAACGTACGAACTCCCTGCCGTCAATCCTCCAACCCAGAAGGAACTCGACCGCGAAGACTGGTCCGACTTTGAGGACACAGGGAACGACGATGATCAAACCGCATCGTCCAGCGCAGGAGCAGGCACGCCAGCCCAAGGTGATAACGAGGACGCTGACGAAGAAAGAGAGGACAATGGTGACGAAGTCGACGAAGAGGAAGATGACGGAGGCAATCAGAGTGACACTCAGAATGTCACCGTCCTGTGATCCCAAGGCGTTCCGTCCCACTCGTCGAGCTTTGTGCCCCAGCTAACTCCTAACTCCCTTACAATCTCAGCGTTCTTCTCCATTTCACAACTTTGCTCCGTAATTACTCTTCGAGTTCCCTTTCAGTCATATTGTCTTCTGGCACGCCGACGCGCGTCTCGTTTCCATAGCTCTCATCCGCCCTTAGCTCGTCACCGTTCCAATGAGGCAAGTCCCACCTCGTTCCAAAATCATCAACCCCGAAAGTACTCCGCAGGGATACGACACTAAGTCATCCCAATATACACAATATAAACACAAACCCATGCCCTGGAACTCGCAAGTCCACAAGCATACTCCTCGGCGTAGCTACCAAGCTGCGCCGGCTCCAGCCGGCCCCTGCACCAACTAGAACATCACTTCCGCGTCATCCACGTCCGCGTTGGCATCCGCCAACCGGGCGTTCCGACGTAACTCCGGCAGACCTCTCTTCTTACGGTCTGCGTCCTCAAATGCTCGGATTAGCGTTCCAAACTCAGGCGCTAACGCCGCTCGAGCCAGCCAGAACGTCTGGTACGTAGGGACAACGGGCTACATCCTACAAGCAAGGGCAAGAGGAGCAGACGTCGGCGTTCCACGTCTAGAGTGGGACTGAGACGAAGGGAATGAGGAGGTACCTCGCTATGGACCGCTGCGTGGGAAAGCGTTGTGGACAGGTAAGGAGCTTCTAGGTCGTAAGGAAGAGGCTCAGTCGTGTTTTTCCTTCTTAAGAGAGAGGTACTCAGAATATTTCAAGTTACAATTGGAATTATCCCTATAGTTCTCGTTCCTACGTCGGCCAGCAAGATACACGACCCCGACGCTAAGGAGGAAGACCGCGACATGACCCATGTAATCATACCTTGGTTCAAGGAAGTAGTTTGGGCTCATTAGTGGAGTATGTTCTTCATTTTAGTCGTCATCTCGTCGGTACTTGATTTCGCGTACTGCACTATGAAGATTTCATTGACATTTTCTCACAACAGATAAAAGTGCAAAACTGATGGTTGAGTTTCGTCGGCGATCCCACCAATTTCGTACGGACTTTAAACGCATATTATTGGACGATGTTCCAAAACCTCGAGTTAATCCAGACCTAAAGCTCTCCGATGTCCTTCAATTCATACTCAAAGACCTTGTACCTATAATACACTCAACCTGCAGAATGCCAACTGTATATAAATCGGTTCCAAACGTGCAACTAACTAACTGGACCCAAGTCAGAATGAATACACTACTCGAAATATTTACTGTATTTCGTACCAACGCTACTGGTAGAGGAACAGGAAAATATAGCTCTACTAACGGAGTCAGTAGTTGGCAAACTACTACTCATGAAACAGTATGCCTGTCCCTGCCTACAGCCGTTCCGCAATATATGAAGTTAATGTACTTTACTATCGGTTCATATGTGATCTTACTATCATTACAAGCATATTATCGCTTCCCCGTGCGCAGCACCGCATTGTTGAACAACATACATGCTACTGATTCAGTATTTTGAGCCACTTCTTAAGTCTTACCGTGTAGTTCCTCCACTAAAGATGGCAATGTTGCCACGTCAATTGCACGTCGTCCTTTACCATTGCGCAAATTGAAATACTCTTCCAGCGTCAATGCGTGTTTATCCACAGCCCTGGGATCTCTTTCCTCTCCTATATCATCTGCTGCCATCAGCAGAACACGAACAACACGAGTCCAACCTGCGCGGCAGGCTACATGCAACGGGGAGTCACCACTGACATCCACTGCATCCAAGCGAGCTCCAGATCGAAGTAGCAGCTCTACGACTGGAACGTGGCCAGCCCGACAAGCTTCATGCAATGGCGTCCTGTAACTCGCGCTGGAATCGATCAAGTTGACGTCTGCGCCCTCATCAATTAGCAGCTGAACATGCTTTTCCCAGCCATTCCAAGCTGCGATATGAAGTAGCGAGCCACCGCCTGGTGCACCTCGCCACGAATTCAAAGCGTATTGGCGTCGAGATTCGTCACTAGAGATAATAGCAGAGGACGAAGCGTAAAGTGCTTGTATGGAGTTCCAATAACTGCTGATTGAATCGTTTTCGTCATACCCATCAAGCACATGTTGCCATGATTGAACCGAAGCGAGCATTCGTTCCAGACGACAACGAAGCTTGGCGGCATATTTCGCTTGAAACGGGCGTTGACGATCCGTGAGAGGATTCAACTCCGAGAGCAATCTCAACTCCACTGCTTCTAGCTGCGAATCGACTGCCCAACTTGCTCTTTGCAAACGTTTAATGCGCTCCTGGAGTTCTCGAGCGCGTTCTATACGCATTTTCTTAGGAAATTCTGTCGAGCTTAACGTCTGTGTCAGCGCTTCTCGGAATTGACGAATAGTCTTCTCATTTGGCTGGCCTTGGATCTTTATGTATTCCCATACTAACGGATCTGTACTATTGACGGGTGTTATGGTGCGGGTACGCGCTGCATCGCGTTCATGTTGAGTCTGGATCCTTGCGCGCTTCTCAGCCTCAGCTTCATGTCGATGCTGTTGATCGCGAATCTGCTTTTCTTCCTGAAGTCGCTGCTTCTCAGCACCAA